AGTCGGCGAGTCGGGCGCGATCGACTTGTGCCACGATAGCCACTTTGCGCCCTCAATCTGGCTAGCAAACTGCCCTGACCTGACCCGATCCCCCTATGGGTGTAGTGTAAATCTATGGTGAACATCAACAAGCCTAGCCTAGTTAACTGAAATAGATAATTGTGGACTTTGTGTACTTCACGAAATTAAAGAGTTCTGTTTTTCGTAGAAAAAATCTTTCGCTCTTTTGACAGTAAAGATATAATTGTTTTCTGAAAAATGAAAAAAAAAAACATGAAAAAACGCTGGGAATCCAAAATTATGCAAGTGTTGGAGAATTATACAAAAATACAGCCTAATGATGCCTTTTTACTTTTTTTTGGGTACAGTGAGTTCTGCATGCTTTTGATGTGCTTTGAAGAAATTTTGAACTACCAATTATATATTTGTGGGGCGTACTGACTAAATGAGTTACCTCTCGCAACCCAAGAATTGAGATATCAACCGAAAATCGAAACTAGGGTCAGATTAAAAGATTATAATTTTGCACCATTTTCTTCAAGTGTACCTTGTTTTATATTATTCCATACTTACAAATTGTACAAACTCCCCCCATAAAGTTGATTTATCAATTTCCATAAGGCTGAAATCCAAGAAGTAACTCAATTTCTCAGCACACCTCAGATTTGTTTTATTTTGTTTACATATCTTGTATCTTTCAGATAAATTCACATGGCTCTCTTTGGCACCAATGTACATATGGATTCTTATTATGTTCACAAGACCTCATAAGGTATGCAGATAGATTTAGCATTTCTTAGTTTCATGTACATGTTGTGCTACCATGCCCCACTGGCTGTTTCTGATATCTGATGCTTATTGTACTTTTTCTCAGACATGATATCTATTTCCTCCTTCTACCTGTTCTCTAATTGGGGCCAATTTTTATCAACCTCTTTCTACAGAATGACATGAAGGTAAAGAACAAGTACTGAGAGACATTAATTACTTAATTGGTTTTAAATATAGTCTACAAGGAAGAAATGTTCTAGCTTGATTGACAGTCATGTTTTGTACGAGAGTGAATGAGGGGGAACTACCTAGTAGTTATTCTGTCCCCGTGGTTTTATGCACCCTGCATAATTTAGCAAACTTTGATCATTTTTTGCATAATTTCAGATTATTTTCCTTTATCATTTTTTTATTGAAATTAACAGGATTATATAATTTCACATTTTTTGGCTCAGTTTGCATAGTTTCAGAATTTTTTTGCTTAAAACTACGGGACAGGTTATTGGGCATACATTTTTATATTCATTAATACAATTTGTGTGTATTAATGTAAGTGTCATTTGACTGTTCAGCTGTTTATCATTTGTTTGTGATAAAAATTGCAAAAGACTGAGGAAAAGGCCAAATTAAAAAGAAAAGATTTTTGATTGCAGTTTCATAATCCGTGACATTGGTTTCATTTGCTCAAAAAATATTTGGTCAAAATTCCGACTCATTTCCATTCACTATACATACAGGAAGAGCGGTTCTTATTCCCAATCTACCCATTCTTCGCCATGGCTGCTGCTATGGTGCTGGACAATGTGCAGGTTGGTCAAGTTGTCAGAATTCCATTTTGCCCACATTGTGTACTTAGTTTCACTTCAAGAGTGCTGAAGGTGCAACTGTGAGACATAGTGGTGAAATCAGCTGCTTGTCAAAATGATACCATCGAAGAAACTGGCATTTTTTCATATGTAGGACAATCATTATCTTTTTTTTTC